GGATTACTATCCTTTCACTAATATTCACATGCACTGAGAGATTTCTGTGTGTCCAAGCATAACGTCTGGCAGAGAGAACAACATTATCCCAACTTTGCCCTTGAGAAGTTTCCAGTTTGGGCGACAATAAGAGACACACCGGGATAAAAATAACCATAATGCAATAATTACTGGTTATACCTGGAAACCATCATTCTCAGCAAACTGACAGAAGAGCAGAAGATCAAACACCGCATGTTCTCAATCATAGGCGGGTGTTGAACAATGAGAACACATGGACACAGGGAGGGAAGCACTACACACTGGGGTCAGTTGGGGGGAAATAGGGGAGGGAGTGTGGGGGGTGGGAAGCTGGGGAGAGATAGCAAGGGGAGAAATGCCAGATGTAGGTAATGGGGAGGAAGGCAGCAAATCACACTGCCATGTGTGTTCCTATGCAACAATTTTGCATGTTCTTCACATGTACCCCAAAACCTAAAATGCAATAAAATAAATAAATGGGGAAAAAAAAATAAAAAAAAATAATTACTGGTTATAGACAAAGCACTGGAAAGCAGTTCTACCAAAGGGCAGGTAGGGGAAAATAGAGCGTTTGAAGTAATAGCTGAAAAGTATCTTAACATATGCTAGCTACAATGACATAATTCCGACATTCCCGGTCTGGAAAAAAATAAATGTTGTTTTAGTTATTAAGTTATAGCACAGTATAACATTCTATAAAAGAGAGCCAACTGTCAAATAAATATAGCCAAATAAAACTGGAAAAGTAGTGTGTTAGTGTTTCAGAGTCAGTGACATAAAGTCGTAGATTTCTATAATATTTTCTGTTCTGAGTATACATCTTGTTCAAGAAATGCAATTAGATGTTCAAGTCTTACTCAATTAGCTATTCTCTAGACTTACAACGTCCACCAAAACCTAACAGTAACATTTGAATCTATGAGGCATGTAATATGTCCTGGGCTTATAGTGAGCTGAGGTCTGAAACAGCTTTGCCTATCCCTTTGTACGTTTTGTGAAATGGGGGTTTGTTTCTGGGTTGGATCTATGCTTGTTATGATTCTCAAATTAGCACATGATGTGCTACAGAACAAAATAGCACATTTCTTCTAGAAACAAAAATTTCCTTTTCTCACTGATGGTGTGAAGGATGAGATGAAAGGCCATAGGTTGGAGTGGCCTAGATAAATCAAGGGTAAGTAATACAAGGCTTATATGAGTAAGCTGGACATGGCTGAATTTTAGGGAATAAAGGAAAATTCATTTATTTAAAAAAATAAAATACTAGGATAAAAAACAAACAAAGAAGCCTGTCCTTTCATGGGTCTTCTTTGGTTATGGCTGCAAGAACCTCTCACCATTTGCCTTCATCCTTAGTTCCTGGAGATAAGGTGGTGAAAAGCAATGCTCTACTGAATTCAGAAGAATTCTAAACAATTGAAAGATCTTAAGAGCCTGAAAGACTTTCATAAAAATGCCTAGAAGAGCAGATATTTTGAGCTTTTTTTTTATATCCTATACACTGAGTATGCTTTATCATTTCCTTTTATCTTGGGCAAATGTATTATTCCAGTGTGGGTTGGGTCATTCATACTTTCAGGATACCGAGAACCACAAATGCCTTGATGGGAACAAATAAGTAGGTGGTAAGTGACTGTATCTTTCTCTTTTCATAACAGCAGCACACAGAGAACATCTCATTCAACTTTTAAGGTAGAAGATAAAAGAAGAGTGTATAGTATTGGGAAAAAGTATACTAATTTCTTTGAACATCTCTCACAGGAGTACTCAACAAATTCATTAGAAAGTCTCTTTTGAAAGAATCAAACTCATAATCTGTTCCAGGTTGCTCATTTTGGGGGTGGTCCGTGTGTGTGTGTGCTAGGGTGGGATGCAGCAGGTCATTAGACAATGTTACACTGCTGTTACAAGTGCAGGCAAACCCACAGAATGATCAGCTCCATTCCTGTTTCCACTTAGGATGGGGTGTCCTGGCTTCTAGTTGTGGGTCATCTGCTCCACAGATTTGGGCTCTTAGTAACTTATATTGTATCAATACCTTATTTAGTGAAGAGACATTTTCTGGCCTAAAATGAAACTTTTGCATTACAAAACACCAAGCTTTTATAGAGGCCAGCTGAGAAACACAACTGATGACTGCTAAGGAGTTTAGTGAAACAAAGGTACAGAACCCTTTACCTATATTCAAAAATGTTAGTTGTACACAGTAGATCATAAAATCTAACTACTATATCAGTTAATAATCATTTTAATTTTTACATACTTTATATGTATTTTAAAATATCTACAGCCAATATATGTAGATACCAAACACTAAATCTATGAAAAAAAACTCAAAGCTATCAATCTTATCAGGACTTTGTCAATATATCTGGGGCAATTCTACTTACTTCAAAGGCAGTTCCTTGCCCAGCAAGGAGAGACCCACAAATGAGAACATTCACTACAGAGAAGGCTCTGTTCTTTTTTTTTTTAAATTTATTTTATTGCATTTTAGGTTTTGGGGTACATGTGGAGAACATGCAAGATTGTTGCATAGGTACACACGTGGCAGTGTGATTTGCTGCCTTCCTCCCCATCACCTACATCTGGCATTTCTCCCCTTGCTATCTCTCCCCAGCTCCCCACCCTCCACCGTCCCTCCCCTATTTCCCCCCAACTGACCCCAGTGTGTAGTGCTTCCCTCCCTGTGTCCATGTGTTCTCATTGTTCAACACCCGCCTATGAGTGAGAACATACGGTGTTTGATCTTCTGCTCTTTTGTCAGTTTGCTGAGAATGATGGTTTCCAGGTTCATCCATGTCCCCACAAAGGACACAAACGCATCGTTTTTGATGGCTGCATAATATTCCATGGTGTATATGTGCCACATTTTCCCTGTCCAGTCTATCATCAATGGGCATTTGGGTTGGTTCCAGGTCTTTGCTATTGTAAACAGTGCTGCAATGAACATTCGTGTGCACGTGTCCTTATAGTAGTACGATTTATAATCATTTGGATATATACCCAGTAATGGGATTGCTGGGTCATATGAGATTTTTTATTTCTAGGTCTTATGTCCTGAACTGGCCTCCAGGATACGCATTTCTTGAACTTGTATAGGCTTGTCTGTTTTTCTTCATTCTATCTTGTCAGTGTTTGTGTGTGTGTGTGTGTGTGCTTTGTCCTTTCAAATAGAATCTCTTGATAATAACAATTTCCAGCTCTTTAATTTCTACAAATGTTTCCTAAGTTACATCTTGCATTCCTGTACTGCCAGAGAGCCCTCTGGGCCACTCCTCTGACTCAAGTGACATCCCGGGTGGGATCCCTCCTCCCAGTTATGCCTAATGTGTTGTAGTTTCCCAGATTCTTCCTCCCTCCTGGATCTGGGTAGACAGTAACAATCACATACAGTTTTTTAGGCTTAATTGCCGTGGCACAAAATATGTTTCCTGGTTTGACCGTCTTGAAAAAGCTATTAAATATGCACAGAGTTCCTAACATCATTTGACTTCCCAGTGGTCATATACACCTAACACTGAGGAGTTGATTTTTGAAACTTTTCTGTGAAATCACAGGAAAAAAATAAAAATCAGTTGGCAGGGGAAGACATCTAATGTTGATCTGTATCTTCTTAATTTCTATTTAAAGAAGCAAAGTCATAATAATCAACAATTACTTGCAAAAATGTCCACTGCTATCAAGATATCAGATAGGATCTCTTATGAATCAATAAAGAACTTAAAATAATATCTGAGTTAGCAGGGAAGAGGATGCTCTGAGTAATTACCTTCTTTAACTCTAATTTTATTAAATGTAGCTTCTGTGACATAGCCCAAGGTCAGCATGTATCTCTGCTTTGTAATCACCTTTGAAATTCTGTTTCAAGTGTGTCTAACTGTCCTAGTTAATGTCTCCCAAGTTTTTATAAATACCAAGGTTTGCTATACTATCTTAGGTTAAAGTTTGTTGAACAATTAAGTAGGCAGAATAAATGTGGATGTTTCATATACCAATAACAACTACAGTTTGAAAGCACAGATGTTGAAAACTTTCTACAAATTTAAAATATTGTTATATGTGTAAAAATTGAAATATAAAATATTGACTTAACTCTGATCCACCCCTTTTCTTCCCTGGTTCTCCTGAACAAAATTCTGATTGCCTGTTTTCCAAGACAATAAATTAAAAAAAAAAAAAACATAGGTCTGCATAATCAAGTATTTCCGAAAAGGTCAATGTTAAACCAAAGAAGATGATTTTCTACTATGAATCATAGTTTTCAGACAACCTGCTTGCACCCCACAGAAAGCAAAACAGAATAGTTATATAAGCAAACAGGTTCCTGTCTCTGAGGCTTCAGAAGTTTGATGGTTGAAATGATTTAATAAATGGGTCTCCATGCATCACACTTGCAGTCTCATTTTTTTAAGCCTTAAATGAAATTTTCATCAAGAACAATAAAGAATATATACTATATTTATATGATCCTAAAAATGTCACAAAATAAATTCATGGTTTATAAATATTTTTATCGTTTGGAGAATTTTTTCCTCATTTATATCATAGAAAGTCCAAGTAAGTCACAGTTATAGGACCTTCAACATTATTTTAAAACATTTTAATGTGGTAATAAATACTTTAAATACTTACAGTCTATATCTTGTATCTGAAATACTTTGTCCCATAATTTACTTTAAATTTTTATTTATTAAACCTTCCACTATTTGACGTTCCTAACAGCCCGAAGTTGATTTCTAAAACTCACTCCAAATTTGCACATATTACAACAAATTTTTCATTTACCTTTTCTCTCAAATGTCTTTGACCCTAAGCAGTACACACTGTAAATACTTTTCTTTCTCTATGTATTTTTAAAAGGAACATTCATTTCTTTAAAATAATTTTGGAGTATGCTTGTGTAACTGTTACGATCCACCTCTTAGATTATAAATCTTAGGTAGTAATGTCTGAGTCTTTTTAATATGCTTTCAATTAAATGTGCTGGCTTTCTGAATACATTTGAAAGGATAAATCTCCTTTCAATGCAGAGGAAAACAACAGACATTGCTCTAGCATAGAGTCAAAGCCATGGGAACTATAAAGCACACTTGGTGTTCACTGTGCAATATTACATTTTTAATAGCATGTAGCACAATGTCAAATTTCAATGCTATAAAATGGCCACAGGAAAAACTCTTTATATTTCCAAGTATAAATGCCATACCAATTTGAACAGAGTTTAAATTCTATTATATAATCCAAACTACCAATAATTAAGCATAATATTAACATTGATGGGTTTGTCCATGCAGAACAGCTCTAAATCCAATCTTTCCCCTATAACTCATTTACCAAATAAATGACAGCAATAAGAAAAAAATGTAATTTTTGGAGGGTTATAGGGAACATGTGTCTCTGAAATGAAAATAAAGTTGGTTAATCCTTGGCACTATTTACTTTAAGGATAAAGTTCCTAGATGAAATAAGACAGCACTCATCCTAACAGAAGACAAGTGAAGATGGAGTGAAGGGCACTATCATGAATTTTGCTTAGAAATTTTGACGACAGAGTTTTGCATTATCACAATTTTCAGGTTGCCATTTTGGCATTGTTTTGAAGCTGTAGGAATTGTGATTGGTACTGGTTCATGAATGTCTATGCATATTCTGATGCTAAACCATGGATTTCTATTGTATAAACTGTACCAGTTATACACCCAGATCACATATAGTGGAAAACGATTTTACGTTATGAAACAGCATTGAAACCAAGAGTAGAAAGGACATGGATACCACTGGTATGTACAGAGGCAGTGGTTCTATTTGAATAGTCAAACTTTATTTCATATATCTGTCCAGCAAAAAGCTTTTTTAGATTATTTGGATAGCTAAAGCTACCCTTTGTTTCTGTACCACAGCAACATGTATAATCTTCTGTTTAAAGTTTTAAATTAATATATATAACAATATCTAAAAATGCAAGCACCATTCTTCTATATCCCTTATATTACTACGGTTCCAAATGCCTTGCCCATACTTGTTCTTTATAAAATTCTTTACAATTTTTCCTTCCTTCTTCTATCAGAATTTTATCTCCTAAACCTAAAGCTACTCACATTAGCCCCTACTTAAAAACCTTAATAGCTCTCTGCTTCCTACTGCAGTGTTCCCCAAACTCATGACATTTGGCAATTCCTTTCAACATTTTTTATCCTTTCTTTTACTGCCCTGTATTATTTGTTTAATAGTTTTCTTTAGAGTTCCCTTTACAACTTAAATTTTTAAAAAAATGTTGTACCCTTCCACAGCAGAATCCAGCTTATCTTGCTGTATCAGTCACAAGACAATAGATTATGTCAGAGTAACAAAAGAGATCAAATTGCAGTGGGATTTACAAAACCCAAGCTTAATGCAGTGCTCATACCGCAGGTCTGCCTCAGGTCAGTCATGCTTCTGTTCCACATTTTCTTCACCATGTGACCAAATCTAATGGAACACTTTCTATTTTAGGACATGGCCAACTATACTGAAGAGGGAAAAGAGGATGTGGCAAATCCTTGTTTAAAACTCCATGCCTTAAATCTTTGGCTCAGAAATGACAGATTGGTTCCACTCTAATTTCCTTGGCCAGAACAACTCATGTGGGTAAGACCGAATGCGCAAAGGAAATATAATCCTTGCCTTGGGAGTGGCAGCAGATATTCTGAACAATAATACAATCAACCACACTTGCCAAGAATAGAAGATAGTTACATAAAAATGGAATGAAAAGAACATTATTAATTTCTAATTAGATAATGTTTCCTGCCCAAGTGTTAAAATCATGCTAGCCAAATGATTTTCTTCTTTACAGGCTGAAAATATTGAACTCACTATATGATACAATATCCTATCCATGTCCAGGTATCACATGTAATTCACCTAAAAATTACTGGCAATATGATTCCCACACCTATGAAAATGCATCTATAAAAAACAAATTAAGATCTCTAAGTATGCCTTTTTGATAATCTGATCTAAACTCCTATTTCCTGTATTGGCTCCCGCCATGCATTTTCCTTTCTCTTGTTCTCATTGCTTTCTCAGCCCCCTTTTAAATAAAAGCCAAGCTCCCCAGACTTCATCTCCGCTGTGTACCTTCTGCTGCTGAATTGCACCAATGTTTGATATACCAAGATTCAACATAGTTATCTTACATTCACCATGCACATGCAATTCAAGCTTTGGCTTTTATCCTTATAATAAAAATCTTACAGTCTTCTTTAATCTTTTTTAGTGAAAAATAACGCACAGTCTACTTTCCAAAGGAAATGTGAAGAAAAATTTTAAAAATATAAAAGGAACATGGGTTGACTAGAAATATTAAGTTTCGACTAAAAATGAAAGGTAGTTAAATATACTATGAATATCACTACTTGGATAAAACTACTAAAAAGTGTTTATTTATTATTACAATTAAAAGTCAGCTAAAGCCTGTGTGGTGGCTCACGCCTGTAATCCCAGCACTTTGGGAGGCTGAGGTGGGTAGATCACAAGGTCAGGAGCTGGAGACCATCCTGGCCAACATGGTAAAACTCCAGCTCTACTAAATGTACAAAAATTAGCCGGGCATGGTGGTGCATGGCTGTAATCCCAGCTACTCAGGAGGCTGAGGCAGGAGAATCGCCTGAACCTGGGAGGCGAAGGTTGCAGTGAGTTGAGATGGGGCCACTGTACTCCAACCTGGAGACAGAATGAGACTCCATTTCAAAAAAGAAAAATAAGAAAACAAGTCAACTAAGAAATTGGATAAATTAATATGAAGGAAGGAGATAAATTATTCAGAAATGTTTTGGTCTTTTGATTTGTAGACTTCGCAACATAAATAGCATTAGAGTCTGCAACAGTCACTAAATCCAAGGGAGTCTAAGTTTCTGAACTTGAAAAACTAATAGCCTAGAGATATGAGATATCTGAATTTATGGGTAGATGAAACTTCCAAACATATTACATGCAGCTACAGATATTAAAAAGAATAATTTAGCATAATGACTTCTATTTAAGCAGTAACATGAAGAAAAGTATAATTTTAAAAGTCAAAAGGATTAAAATATTCTATATTAGACACTATACTTCTCTCTATAAAATTTGTTGGTAAAAATTAATTTTGAGCTACATTGTTATTAATTTAGGAGCAAAACTGGAGGTTTTTCTATCTCTTATATGACTGATAAAAATACATCAGTCCCGTATATGTTAATGATAAAATAAATTTCAATTTCTAAATACAAAAGTGGTATCTCTTTAAAAAATTTTAAAGAGGCTACAAAGGAAAACTCCCTCTGTTTTTGCTATTTGGTATAGTTTTGTAATAAACTTGATCTTATGCAATCACCATAGATAAACTGCTTCCCTGGCATACCAGTGAATGTTGGGAAATATGCTGAATATTACTTCTAATCATTTTTAGCCATGATGATGATGATGATGATAGATGGGGTCCTGCTATGGTGCCTAGGATGGCTTCAAACCCCTGGGCTCAAGTGATCCTCCCGCCTTAGCCTCTTGAGTAGCTAGGACTGACAAATGTGCCATTTCACCTGGCTTCTTCCAATAACTTTTAAAAAGTGCTTTTCACAAAGAATGGCTCAAAGCAGAATGTTTGAAATAATATACTGAAGTACATGGTTAAGTGTTACTTTTAAACTGTTTTGTAGTGTTTTTATTAGTACAGGTAAACATTAATGCTTTGTGTTAACGTAAATTACATTACTTTCATTTTTTTCTTCCATAAGTTTCCTTTCCTGGAAATAAGTATGGATGCAAAAGATGTAACTAAAATGAAGTGGCTGGAACACTATATCCTCTCATTTATAACTGTGACAATTTTAAATCCTTATGTGTTTTTACAATTATTGACTGAATGCTTGATGTATACAAAACGCCAAAGGTTTAAAAACAGGGCAGAATATAGAAATTAGAATTTATAATTTAGAAGCAAATACACATCCAAACACAGATTGCTATCATATAAAAATATAATTTTCATATAAATTACACAAATTTCATTCCTGTTCAGGGGTTTTGGATGGTCCTAGTTAACTGGTTTCACCAGTGGCAATTTTTCTTCCAATGTGGTCTGATGCACTTCACAGACCACATTGAGACTTCGATACCGAATGATGTTGAACATCAGCAATTTATTCTAGCTGCGCTCTTACAAACTGGATAGTGGGAGCAGGTGGGTGGCATGAGCCAGATTCAATCAGGGGTCAAATGACCACCCATCCAGGAGGGTCTCCATCTGGAGCCTATTCTCAGAGCTTGGGGGATTCTTCCCCTTTCTTATACCTGTATTCAATATGAGTCAGTTACCAGGTGTTTTGTTCATAAAAGGAGGTTAAGCTAGTCTTGTAAGAGTAACTTTGTTTAAATGTCTATAAGAGTTGCATCTGTGCTGAGGTGGACTTCTCTCCTGGAAACCCCCCACCGGGTTGCCTCACACGGCTACTGCTAAGTGGCACACAGTGTCAGTCTTGCAAGGTGTTCCAGTAGGATTTACGGTTCTCATTAATCTTATAGCCATGAAATGTCTCTTATAGTATGCTACAACCAGGGGAGTGCTAGAGCCAGCAGGAGACAGAATAACCATTGTTTTCTGAGGCTTATCACAGAAATTACAGGAAAAGGGGACATCTTATCTGAGCAAAAAAATAAATAAATAAATACGATTGCAGGCAGAGATCAAGGAGGGTAAAGTCTAGAGAGAAGGCACAGAGTGAGAAAAGACATAGAGATAGGAAATTATAATAGATATTAGGGTAACGATAAGGGATTTAAATTGACTAGAATCTGTGTGGAAGAGTGGTGAAATGCTGGGAATACAGGCTGGGTCTTACATCAGAGTGCAGCTTTGAGAAAAATATCTCTGCTGAATGAATATGGTAAACAATGAATTGCCAAACAGGGAATCTATCTAGCTATTTTAGTGTTTCTAATTACAGAGCTAAAGTGCTATATTATAGGAAACAAATATTGAATCAGCACATTAAGAAAGTGTCCCTCACTGGCAATACTATTTTAAATGGTCAGGAGGTTTGAAGTTCCACGATAGATTATTTATGGTTTCGTAAAACGGAGAGTCAGG